ATTGACAAATACGATACGAGCGATTACGCGGTCGATAATGCGTACGGAATCCCGCTCGCCAATGAAAAAGTACCGGGCTTAATGAAGGACAAAAACCACGGTGCCATTATGACTGAATTTGTCGGGATTAGGGCAAAGATGTACGCCTTGCGAGTAGATGGTAAGAAAGACACAAACGAGATCAAAAGCGAGATCAAGAGCAACGTCGTAGCCAAGGAGATAACGTTTGACGATTACACGTTGTGTCTGCGTGATGAAATTGAAATGACGCGACAGCAGTCTAGCGTAAAGTCCGAACTGGACGAAGTGCATTATACCATAACCAATACGAAAATCGCTCTAAATCCGTATGACGATAAACGATACATTGTACCTAATTCTACTGAGACGTTACCATGGGGTCATTACGAGATACCTTTGTAAATACTTTAATTGTATATTTTATAAATACATGACTTTTTTTAGAAATGAAAACAAACTTATTTGCATATTATAAGAAATTTATTTTACAAAACATCCTTGCGTATCTAAGAATTGTGTAAACTATCGAATCTCAGTCACTTTACATAAACCTCATTCCCTTTTTTACGTAACACTTTTTTAACGAGATACAGATCAAGATTAGCAACGTAATGCAGATTTTGCGCAGAAATCTTCCAGTAGATACGTCACGGGATTAGTTTTCTGTACTTAAACGATTCTAAACACTTTCGTAGTCCAATTTGGCGTGTGTGTGTGTGTGAGTGGGGGTGGGGGGGTAACCTTTCTCAAAGATTGTCTTGAATTTATTCACGCGTACCGAGTCGCCTACTTTGAATCACGTGGGAACAGCAATCTTTACGCGGCTGTACACCGTTGTTAAGAACTTGTCGCGATCTCGGGGATAATCATCGCCGATAGGTTGCATGCCGATCAGTTTCAATGCAGCTTATGGAAAATGAGAATATAATTGTTACTAAAAATATGGTGATTTAAGAATTACTTGACCGTCTCTCCGCCGAAATTATAGCACTGCCCAGCATTATTCTGCTCCTCTACCGTTAGGTTCGAGCTGGCCATCCCCCTCGCACGAAAGACTGAATTAGCTATCGCGAATTGGCTACCGTCGTGTCGTGTCTAGATTTTTGCGCCTTTTGGAAATTGGTAGACGCGAGCATAATGCCTAATTTTCGTTTGGTGTGTGGCTTTTGAATTGTGCGAGGGAACAGCTCGAGAAACCCGTCATCCTTACTCTCCCGTTCCCCCTTTTGATCCGTTTTGCGCCTCGGGCAAGAAAGAAAAGGCGTGACACTACAAATGCAATAATATAACGGTCGCTTAAATGTATAAGTACAAAGAAAGATCTACATGCGTACTTTTGTTAGATATTACTTATTTCAACAAATAAGTATATAAGAGAATAGAAAGAGAAACAAAATATTCGAATATAGACACAGTATTGTTTACAATAAAAATATCATGAAAAAGTCGAAACACTTGTAGAAGTAACACGGTATATCATGCAATTGCTGTTGTAATGATACTTTTTCTTACTCAACGACGCAAAAAGGGGACATACTCATTTAAATTTCAATTATTTTTTTACTCGTTTCCTTAAAGTGCATAATATATTTTAACTATATATTTACAAAAATACGTTTTTATTAGATATTACGCACAAATATCTATATAAAAAAATATTACTTCTTCAACATTCTTCTAATATTTAATTAATTTAAAAAATAAATACAGAATTGTTCATAAAATACGAATATCCGTTTTACTTTAGAAGAATCTTTATGTATTTTATGCATTTGTTAAAATATTTAAAATAGATATAAAGAAAATTATATAAAATAATAATGAAGACAATTAATGCCTTAACTGGATCTTTTATACAAGTATATTGTTTAAATCTTAAAATTATGGAAGTATTTGGCTCTCTCCTGATGGAAAAAATTCTCAGTCAAGTACATTAAAATAAGAATAACTATTACTATTTTACCCACCGTACTTTCCCCACTATGATCTCTTACTGTTGTCTAATACTGTTGTTTTCTGTTTAAGAGTAACGTTCTTGACAAAGTGCCTTCTATTATTCTCTCATATTCATACAGACTACGAAAGAATAATAGACGTGCCTGTTGATAGTGAATTAGTTAGAAATTAAATATTCTGCAATTAAAATAACACTTTTACAACATACATCTTTAGGTATGTAATCTAGCCTTTTCACCCACACATGCAGAGAGAGAGAGAGAGAGAGAGAAAGAGAGAGAGGAGAGGAGAGGAGAGAAAAGGAGAGAAAACATAATATTTAAATACATAACTTGCGTTTGCTTTATTAATATTACATATCAATATTAATATAATACACACTAACAAAATGGCTTCTACAATATTGCAAAAATTAAATAATACATTATTCGTACTATCATCAAAATATATACTGAGCATACTTTATATTTTCCATATTATGGCTACGTAGTAATTCCAATAAGAAATTACATACGTAACAAATCACACAAAGAGTGCCTTAATATAAATAAAAGAAATATAACTATAATACATATTGCTTTTTGTGCAATTTTTATAAATTAAGTTTTTTCGTCAATATAACAGATTGCTACTTAATCAACGTACGTGTTATTTAACATTAATGGTCCTTACTTTTTATAGAATTTGTTAGGAAAACTAATTTCTATATAATTTACATAAAAATTAAGTTATTATATTATCTCTAATAGCTCATTACAATATTTATCATACTTATTACATAATGTAACAGCTATCACTTTTTTCGTATTTTAATTATTTTAAATAATATCATTAATATGATTTAGATTTTAGATAATTTATTAAAAATACTTTTTAACTTAACAAATTATCAATTTTTATGTGTTTTTCATGAATATTTAGTTATAGCATTTTGCGTTTAAATTCAAAGTAAACATTATAGCGGCAGGAAACGGCAATTTTTGGATTGCAAATTTTTCTATGGACTCGATAAACTTACCGCCTACTACACTTTCAGAAGTCGCAACAAGTATGTATATAAATTTTCATAATTATCTCAGATATATATATATAATATATATATATAATATATTTCATGCCCCTATCACACATACCTACTATGTAATAATAGTTCTGCAGAATGGAATGCGTCCCGTTATATTATAACAATAATTCAAAGCATTCTCCACAGACACTTCTATGAAGAGGATCGTACTGTTGGTAACAAGCATTTATTGTAGTTATAATCGATTAAAAGAATAAATAAAAAAATGTTTGTATTATCTTCTATGCCTGATTTTGCAGCTTTAGGTGGTGTTCTTCAGATGAGGAATGGACGAGTGGCACAAAACGTTATGCCGGAACAATATCCGCCGCGGGTGTCATCATTTATCGATCTCGCTAGATGGTTTAAATGTCACGACCTACAAGTTAAATCAGATCTGATAGCTGTTGGTACAATTATTAACACCGAACCGGATATTTTGTATGAGGAACAGCGTTACGATTCTGTAAGTAATTTGCACATATATAGCAAGACAAGTGGATAACAGAGACTATTTATCTTCAAATTACTCTCTCCTATCACCAGCAAAAACTACCGTTAGTTATAAATTTTAATTTCTTATTTATTAATTAACATAATTGTATCTATCCGCTTATGTCAAAATAAGCATTTGTAAATATTAAATTTAAGTAAATTAAATTAATAAATCTTAACACATTTACTTAAGCGTTAATCATGACCATGATTACGGTCTAAATTGCTTAAACTTTAAGAAATATTTATATGATTTTCAGCCTCTGCCGAGAAGGCACCATCAGTTCCATAGTTTTTCCACTGACGGAGTAGGCGGCCAGTTTGTTAACGATATCATGAGCACGGTCGAATATGAAGGATATTTCAATTTAGCGAGCAAAATTTATATGTGGAATTCAT